CATCATCATCTCTGCCATCATCAGCTCCATCGTGTCCATCACCAGCATCTCCAGCATCTCCATCATCTTCATCATCTCCCACCACCATAATCTCCCTCATCTCCACCATCATCATCTCCATCATCATCAGCTCCAGCATCTCCATCATCTCCACCATCATGTCCAGCATCTCCCACCACCACCTTGGCCTCCACCACCATCTCCCCCCACTTTGTGCTCAACCAGGACCTCCCACCCCACCCTAGATCCTCCAACCTCCCTCCTAGTCCCGTTGGCTGTGTTGGAAGCTCCTCCTTGGATCTCTCTCTCTCTCCCGTTGTCTCCTCCAGCCCAAACCCACCCGAGGTCGGATGAGAATCCACTCCCTGGAGAACGTGGACAAAGCTCTTCAGTTCCTCAAGGAGCAACGAGTCCACCTGGAGAACGTCGGATCCCACGACATCGTGGACGGCAACCACCGTCTCACCCTCGGCCTCATCTGGACCATCATCCTTCGCTTCCAGGTGGCCAGAAGATCCCATCCCACCCTTAGGGATGTCCTCTTCGTCCTTCTGGTGTTCCTCAGTGTCTCCTCACTGTCCTCCACCAGATCCAGGTCATCAAGATCAAGACCGAGGACAACCGGGAGACGCGTTCGGCCAAGGACGCTTTGCTGCTCTGGTGCCAGATGAAGACCGCGGGGTGAGAGGTCCTACCATCCTGGGGGGGATGGACCTTCTAAGGAGGGCTTGGAGCCCCTCAACAACCTTCTCTGTCCACCACAGCTACCCTGAGGTGAACATCCAGAACTTCACCACCAGCTGGAGGGATGGATTGGCCTTCAACGCTCTCATCCACCGACACAGGTCCGTGTGGGGCTGGAGCTGGGGGTGGAGAGGACATTTTGAGGTGTTGAGATGGTTAAGGTGACTATGTTGTCCTCACAGACCTGATCTCATTGACTTCCACAAGCTGACCAAGTCCAATGCCACCTACAACCTCCAACAGGCCTTCAACACTGCTGAGCAGCACTTGGGGCTCAGCAAACTTCTGGATCCTGAAGGTAGAGGAGATACCTCCCCAGGCAGCCGTGGTGGGAGGTCTCCAGCCATCTTGGGTTCCACCTTAGAAGATCTCCTGGAGAGAGGGGGAAGCTTGAGGGGTCAGCCAAAGGCTGAGGATTGGCATGGTGGGACCATTTGTGGGGGTCTCCTGGGGGTTTGGGCTTGGTGGGACCATCCCTGGAGATCTGGAAGTCGTGGTGGGATCTGAGGAGGCTTCAGGAGGACCTGAGGCTTTGTTGTCCTCCCTCCAGATGTCAACATGGAGGACCCCGATGAGAAGTCCATCATCACCTACGTTGTGTCCTTCTACCACTACTTCTCCAAGATGAAAGCTCTGGCCGTGGAAGGGAAGAGGATTGGGAAGGTGAGGATGGTCCTCAGGGGTTGACCTTTGACCTTGCTCCTTCTCATGGTCCATGAGGTCTCCTAGGACCTTGCAGCATCTCTCGGTCCATCTCAGTCTTCAGGGATGTCTCATCTTTGGTTCATTGGGAGGTCATCAAGGTTGATGGGACCTTCTCAAGGGTGGTGGAAGGTCCTCAGGGCGTGGTGAAAGGTTGTCAGGGCATGGTGAAACTTACTCAGGCGTGGTGGGGCCTTTTAAAGGGAGGTGGGACTGCCCTGAGCTCCTTGTGAGTCTCCTCAGGTGTGGTGGGACCTTATCAAGGGAGGTGGGACTGCATTGAGCTCCTTGTGGGCCTCCTCAGGTGTGGTGGGGCCTTTTAAAGGGAGGTGGGACTGCCCTGAGCTCCTTGTGAGTCTCCTCAGGTGTGGTGGGACCTTATAAAAGGAGGTGGGACTGCCCTGAGGTCCTGGTTGACGAGGCAGGGCTGGTGGGAGCTCCTCAGAAGTGGTGAGACATTCTCAGGGGTGGTAGGACCTCACTGAGCCCCTTGTGGACCTTCTCAGGGGTGGCAGAACCTCCTCAAGGGTGCTGAGACCTCCTCAGGATGGTAGAACCTCATCTAGCTCCTTATTGACCTCCTCAGGGGTTTGGTGACCACTTCCAGATCTCTCTTGACACCTCCTATAATCTCCTCCATCTTCTCCCGTACTTTTTCTCACCAGGTCCTGGACCAGATGTTGGAGATCTCAGCCATCACGGCAAGATACGAAGCCTTGGCCACAGATCTTCTGACCTGGATCCACCAAACCATCACCATCATCACCAACCAGAAGTTTGCTAACTCCTTACCTGGTGTCCAGCAACAACTTCAGGCCTTCACCACCTTCTGCACCTTGGAGAAACCTGTCAAGTGAGACCTCTTGAGGTTGGGTGGGACCTTCACGATGGTGTGGAGATCCATAACTGGGTCCTCAAGCTGGTGGGATCATCTTTTAGGTTCCAGGAGAAGGGAAACTTGGAGGTTCTTCTCTTCACCATCCAGAGTAAACTTCGAGCCACCAACCGCAAGCTCTACATACCCAGTGAGGGCAAGAGCATCTCCGACATCAACAAGGTCCATGGGTGGTGGAGCTGGAGGAGGTCATGGGGGTTCCTGGGGCACGGGAGGTTCTCAGGGGTGGTGGGACCTCACTGAGATCCTTGTTGTCCAGGGAAGGGTGGTAGGACCTCACTGAGCACCTGGTTGACCTCACCAGGGCTGGTAGGACCTCATCAAGGGTGGTAGAACCTCA